GCCACCCAACCAGGGGCCACCCAACCAGGGGCCACCCAACCAGGGGCAAAGGGAAGGTCTGAGCCTTGAAGAGAGGTCCTGTAGTGTGAAGAGACAGAGCCAGACAACCAAATAAAGAGACATAGACCCAGTAAAGAAAGAGTATAAGAGATTCGGGGTAGGGGTGGAGACCATGCAGATCAGAAGACACCACACTCCACTGTAGTCACTGCTGACCCCAAATCTGAGTGGTAGTAACCAGGGCCTCAACAAGGGACATGTGGGAGGTAGGCCAGTAATCTCAGCACCCAGGAGGCTGGACTGCTGAATTCTTGGCCAGCCTGGACTCCATACTAAATATGAGGCCAGCCAGGGAAAGACTGTCTCAAATTTAAAAAAAAAAAAAAAAAATGGCCTAGAGCTGACCTGGGGATGATGGCCACCAGGGCCAGGCCTGGCTCCAGACACAAGGGATGGAGTGTCTGACAGAAGAGAGTGCTTCGTTTCACTGTGGCCACTGACCAATGCCAGGCCGGGCCAGGTAGGGCCTTGGCCTGCCCCCACCCTCCATCCTGCTGATGGGCTTACCCTCCGCCAGGGGTAGATGTAGGCAATGTCCATTAAGGTGTAGTATTCCTTCAGGGGCTCATCTTCATAGAGGATCTCCACCTGGAGGGAGGGAAGGACACCCATGGGACATGGCAGCTGGACCCTGGCTGCCAGGGATGGGAGTCTTGGGGGATAGAGGTAAGCGAATTGAGAGGTGGACTCCAGGAGGCCTCTCCTTATGTAGATGTGACTTCCCTTCCAGACTTGTTCCAAGAAACTCCCCCAACCCACTGATGGAGAGGAGGAGGCTCCTCTCTCTAGGACCCCTTTGACCCAGGCTCTTGCCTGTGCCACTGAGGGAACCAGAGAAGCAGCTTTGATTCGACCATCTGACCTGACGGATGAACACCACAATGCTTTCTGTCCCCCTGCCCAAGTGTAGGCTAAGGGAAGCCTTGAACCTAGGAGCTTGTCAAAGAAGCAAGGTCAATCAAGTGCATCAGAGACCTCCGAGGGATCCTGGGTTCAACCTGGTTTACCAGTCTATATCCTAGAGCTCCTTGGCCCTATCAAAGGCCTGGCATTTGCATGCACACATCCCTGGCGCTAGCCCCTTTGTACACCAACTAAAACAATTAGACACTGTCTTATCCTCAACAGTGGGGCTAGGCTATTCGTCCCTGCAGGCCCAGCTATACAACCCCGAGATGGCTGTGACTCACTCCCACCAATCAGACACATCGATGGAGCTCTGCTGTCTGGGATGGCATGGTCCAGACACATCGATGGAGCTCTGCTGTCTGGGATGGCATGGGCATTTCACCTTGTACTTGCTGGGCACATCCATTTTGTTGCGGAGGAACTTGGCGAGGTGCATGACGGTCATGGCTGCTGGGCATCGCAGGAATCGCACTCCTGTCTGTGGGGGAAGAGGCCCCAGTGAGAAGGTGTATCCATGGTGCTCTCAGCCCACTCCTCGACGGGCCCGAGACTCACCTTCTCCTTGTCCCCATCCCCATTCTCCAAGAGGCTCTTCTTCTCCTCTCGGTCCCTGGGAGAAGAGAGAGAAAGAAGCTAAGGACCACAGAGTTGCTGGACCAAATGCATGTCTGACTGATCTTGGAGAATGGGCCAGGGTAGAAAAGGGGCCTAGGTTGAACTTGCCTGACACCTTCGTAGAACTCAATGGAAAGACTGACAATCTCGTCGTCACCTAGAGCCCCCTTCTCCTGTTCCAGGACCTCGCCTCTGTCTTCGTTGGAGCCATTGGGGACTGCAGAGGGAGATAGCTCAGAGGGGTTGGTCAAAGATAGAGCAAGGGACTGAGGACATAGGGAAGGGGAGTAGTTCAGAGGTTGAGCCCAGTTCCCTTTGGACAGTACTCTAGCTGGGAGGTCTGTTGGAGGTCGGAGGGACAGTGGGGGCCAAAGTTGGTACATTCACAGCTGGGGCAGCCCTAGGCAGTCATGTTGCTTCAGGAACTAGAATGTGCTTGTGAGTTCAGAGAGAATATACACTCACCCTCCGTCAGGGGGTGTGCTGCATAGAAGTCCCGCCGACGTTTCATCTCATCTAAAGGAAGGAGGCAGGGATGAGTGGGTGACAGCTGGGGGGTTGGGGGAGCTGAGCAGGGACAGCACAGGGGCTCATGATACCTTTAAAAAGCCCAGGCACCAACTTGTAGACAATGTCCTGGAGAGTTTTGTCTGATCTGGGAAAGAACGTACAGGAACATTAGAAGCCAGAGTCCCTCCATCTCTAGCCAGGGATTGGCTTTGTAACCCTTCTTCAGACCCAGCATTCAGGCATGCAGCTCCTGGACTGGCATTTCTTAGCCTATGTCAAGCTGGAAGCCACTGGGAGGCAGGGTGCGGGGACAGAAGCCCACCTGATACTCAGCAGTGGTCGGGTTTTATGGACCTGGACATCACACATGGGGCAGTATTTGTTGGTCTCCAAGTAGCGCACGATGCAGGTTTTGCAGACTTGGAGTGTGGACAGAGAGAAGACAGTCAGAGCCCCTTCTCGCCCAGGCCTGTGCTTACCAGCTTTCTCTTCCCACTCTGACCCAGTAGCTCAGGATTGCTCACGGGCCCAGCATGGCAATGTGCAGTCACACATCTGGGCTGTTGTACCTTGTCTAGCCTTAGGGGAAGATGGGCCCTACATCTCTATGAGCCAGGGTGGTTGGTGTCCTGCCTACCATAGAAACTGCACTAAGTCCTGGGCTCCCCTGAGCCAGCCAGGTAAGACACCTTAACGGTCCTGGATCTCATGTAACCAATCTGACAGTGCAACTGAGTGACCCCTGAATCTACAGGGGTCAAACTTCAGCCAGAGATATCATAAAAAGTGGAAGTTTCTTATGTTGTCCCAGGAATGAACTTCTGGGTCTAGGACCCCACCACCACCACCACAAACACACAAACACTGTCCCTTCTTGGCAGTCTCTCAGGGATCCAGGGTAGCAAAAGATATCCCCCATTTTCCCTAAGCAGTGTCCCCAAGCTGGGCACCCCTGACCAACTCACATGAATGTAAGCATTCCACAATGGTGGTGGCATCGATGAAATAGCCCCCACAGAGAGCACACATGAGGTGAGGGTTCAGCTCCGTGATTTTAATCCGCGTGGTCCGATGCATGATGCCGGGGTCAGGACTGAGGCGCCTCAGGAAGTGTCACCCTGGGAAACAGAAACGGGATTAGAAATCCAGCCACCCTTAGCTGCTTCCTTACACTGCTTCCCCCTGGGTCCAAAGCCCAGTTTTGTTTTTTTGCTTTTGTTTTTTTTTCCCGTTTCAGATGTGCAACTGGGTACCAGTTTGAGACTGGCTGCTCCTGGCCCTCCCTCTGAGTGTTCATTGGGTAGTGGGGGCTCAGGAGGCTTCTGCCACCTTGAGAAGCAAGGTCATATACCATCTCAGAAGCAGTAGGAAAGACTAAAGTCAGACCATAGGAAGCACTACCCAACTCTTGAAGATGGACGTGGGAGGGCAGGAAAAGGGAAGAAGCTATCGGTGCTTTTAAAGATCTCCCTGGGTGAGATCTGTGAGCCTGTGAGAGAGCTTGGCAGGTAAAAGTAGAAGCACGTGCACACACACAGAAAATAAATGCAATAAAAAATTTTAACAATATTCCTGGTTCCAACCCATGTCCTTTCAAGTGGTCAGATACCTGCTGAGCACCCAGAGCTATGAGAAATAGCCCAAGTGGTCAGATACCTGCTGAGCACCCAGAGCTATGAGAAATGGCCCAGACAACTCAATTCACACCAAACTGAAGAATAAATTACTGGCATTCCATCAATGACAGATTCTTCATGAGGAAACCTTCCAGAGAGATACTAGGACACAGGCCGTCACCTGTCCTTTTGACTCTCCCACTCTGGCCTTAGAGCACTCCCTCCCTCTAATGTGTCTGGACACAGACAGCTCCTTACATGCCTGCTACTTGCTGACCCTTTGGCTTTCCAGCCAAACCTAAGGCTGGTTTTCGTATGTCCTGAGTTATAAAGAAGGAGCTGTAAGCCCAACTTGACACTACTCTACAGGTAATCCAAGGGCCTGGCAAAAAGACCTTTCCTGTCCCGTGGTGGAAACCACCCCATGTTGCCCACCACACCCTCAACAGCCACTAACTGCTCTCCAGAGTGCATGATCTAGGAACCCAGTCTTGAACACACAGATTTGCTTCATGTGCCACTGGGATCCCACCATGTCCCAACCTGGTGATTGTTGCCACCTGTTTACAGGCTGTCCACCAACAAACCACAGGTTCTCCTAGACACCTGCTGAAAAATGGACAGACAGTGTTCTCTGTCCCCAGCTTTCCAATGTACCTGGCCAGGCCCTGGAGGCAGAGGTCAGTTCAAAGCTGGCTCTGGCTCTGGACTGAAGGTGGCAACTACCTCTCTCCTCTCTCCAAGAGCAAAAGCCCAGGAGCCTTGAGAGGCTGGCCAAGTCCCAACTGCTCCTTTACAACATACACCCTTCTCTCTTTTCCAGAAAGATTTCTAAAGCCACCACACAGGGTTTTCTAGGACAAGAAATTCACAGCCAGGATCTGCAGTTTCTATAGAGACCCCAGGATGAGCCTGGCCAGAACCCAAACAGCTAATAAAGCCCCAGGGCACCTGGCCAGAGGCTGGGATAGATGGAGCTACACAAAAGGCCACACTTGGGACAGACACCAAGTTGCAGAAAAGAGAGAAGGGAACAAGCCAGCCAGAGGTGGCCCAGAGACCAGGCGCCCTGACCTGCAAACCTGGAGCAGAGTTCCTGCCCCTAGAGGTGGCCTTAGCTGGTAGTCACTGCATGGGTTCCCTCTTCACAATTTCAAAGAGGCTGCTGGCTACTCTACTGTTTAGTTGTTTCCATGGTAACACAGTCTCTGGCAAGAAGCCCAAATATTATTACAACCATCCAGAGGATAGAACAAACTCCAAGTGGCTGTCTCTTTGAGCATGTGTAATAGCCACTGTGTGTGTACGTGCTGTCTGGGCTTCCAAAGGTATTTCATGTGGCCGCTTGCCTTGTGTGTGTCTGTGTCCAGAGATACAGAAGAGTCAGAAACAAACTGTATCAGAGTAGGATCCTGCCAGGGAATCCAGGCTGCTAGGGTAAACCCCTTCCAACCAGTGCGTGTGCACGCGTACACACACACACACACACACACACACACGCACACGAATATATGTGCTCTTCACCCACATACTTCATTTGCAAAGAGATACACGTTCCTAAGAAGCCACAGGAGCCCCACACAGTCCGTCATTTTAGAGGTTTCACATTAGAGCAGCTCCTGCCCCCAGCCCCCTGCCCCAGCTCTCTCTCTAAGCTCAGGGCCATAAGGGAAGGAGATGCTATGGTCGGAAATGTTCCCTGTCTCCCTTGGGAGCAAGAGAGCCTCCCCGTTCCCCATTCCCATCCCTAAGGGCCTCAGAAAGCCACCACTGGGACTGGGGGTGGGGAGAGGCACTGATTGGCTCCTCACCTGATTGCCATGGTTACCTGCAGGGCCCTGTCAGCAGGTGCCAAGAGTGGCTGTAAACAGGAGCTCCTCATCCCTAGAGCATTAGAGCATCCCCCCCCCCCCATTTCCCTGCTCAGGATCAGGACCTGCGTTTGTTCCTTCCTGATGCAGGGGGCTGTGGTGCTGGTGGGGAGAGGGAAAAGGATGACGTACCACATCACTACAGAGGGGACAGCTGGGAGAGACAAAGGGCCTGTGGAAGAAAAAGTGAAAGACACAGGGTCCCAAGAAGCAGAAAATGGACTGAGACCATTTGGAACTGGTGTCAGTGGAGCTGGGGAAAAGACCACTCCCTTCTACTTCCTTCCAACAGCCCCCTCCACAGCCCCACCCAGTCTTAGGCCTCTCTGGTTCTAGCTCCTGGCTCCCAGGGGCCCCAGGCAGGAAAGGGGTTTGGTCAGCACCTAGCACCCAGTCCCTCGCCATCTGAGCTCACCGGCCTCTCCCCACACTTCCAGCCTACAGCTGACAAGCATCCCACATCTCTCCAACGAACTAGACTTTTTCTTCTGTAGGTATTGGCCTGATGCCACAGAGAGAGGGTCCTGCTGCCCCCAGGGACCTCAGCTACACCCCTCTGCCTTGCTGGCTCACCAAATCAAATCAAGCCCCAGGCCACAAGAGGTCACTCAAGGTCACATCCTAGCCCTGGACTAGTGGAGGTGGATGTGATCTTTGAAAGCATGTTGTGAAGTCTTCTCAATTTACAGATGAAAAAAACTTAGATGTGACTTGCCCAAGGTCACTCAGAAAAACAGGCGATGATCTGACAAGTATCTGCCTGCCTCCTGTTCTAATGTCACAAGCTGGCATCCGGGTGGGGGCTCCTTACTTAGCAGAAGAGCTGAGTGGGTAGAAGGATGGAGGGCAATTACTTAGAAGGGCAGGCAGGAAGCCCATACTGTGGGTCTGCTGAACGGGAGGCAGAACTGATGCCTTACACCACCTCCGCTGTATAGATGGGGAAACTGAGCCACAATGGAAAACAGAGCAAGCGAGCCAGAGTATAGTGTATAGACATGAACTTCTAGCATTGGTTCCCCTCCTGGCTTCATAGACCCAGCTCTGCAAGCAAACCTCATGTGTTTGTGTATGAGTCAGAGGGTTCTGCAGCAGGACATTGAATCTCTGATCTTTTCCTAACCCTTGACAGTCGTACAGCCCTTAGTATGGAAAAACGATAGACGCCTCTACCTACCACTCAGTTCCTGAAGACAGAATTAAAAAATAAATAAAACAACAATACTAAAAACAAAGACTATACATAGGGCGGCACCGCAGGATGCACTTATCCAGAGCCAGACACACCCCCTTAATCTCTTACATCCACAGCACCCAGAGCCAGATAAGCGTGGTCATACACACAGCCAGACAGACACTTGGCCAGACACACATCACCACATGCACAGCTAGGCTGGAGCCAGGTTCCTGTTCCACAGATGCAGAAGTCATTCCCACCCATCACATCCCTGCCTGAAACCGGAGCCACCGACAGTAACCTTCTACAGACCTCTAGTCTTCTCAGGGTATATTAGAATTTAAGTCTTGCAGCAACAAAGGCAGTTCAGCCCCCCAACTCTGCTGTGGGGCCAGAGGCTGGAGGGCTACAGTTGGCATCTGACCTGTGTGACATATAACCTCTTCAACTTCAGGCTCTCTCCATTCCCATGGCAACAACTCCATCAACCAAGATCACTCAGGGAGTTCCTTTCCCCTTTCCCTGCTCGTCTCCCAGTACTTCAACTTGTACAGGATCAGACCACAGCCAGACTGGATCCTGCAGCCTGTTTCCTGCCTCATTCCAAACACGGTTCTAAGTGCGCAAGCCCCAACCTCAAACCAGGAGAACCCCTGGGAAAAACCTCTCCACCAAAATGCTACAACAGAGCTGGCTTTATGCTCCTCCGATTCCAGTAATAACACCTTGGAACAGGGATTTGTGTATGTTGGCGGGGGTGGGGGGGCTGTCATGAGTTTCGGGAACACTACAACTACAAGAAGTCCAGAGAGGGAGGCCCAGGACTCTGAGAGCTGGCTAAGAGAAGCCCCTCCCTCAGCGAGAGGGAGACCAAGAGAGACTGAGGCAGGGGGGGGATGGCGGGAGCACGGCTGGGGGCTACGAGAGACAAAGACGCAGGGAAAACTCGAGGTAACACCTGTACATACTAAAACATTTAAATTCACACATACATACACCCTTCTCCTCGATCAAGCAACCAAAGCAATTTTGGATAGACCCGGGAAGCGAGGGATGGAAGAAGTAGGGGGCTTGCCTAGACGCCCCTGGGAGACAGGAAGGGTGCAGGGTGTCTGCAGGCCCAGGGTTCCCCAGCTTTCAGAGCTAGCAGCGGCAGGGCTCAGGGAGAAAGAGTAGCTGCTTCCCCTTTCGTCCCCCTGTGGCAGAAGGGCCAGCTCATCAGACCCCTTGGCCACTAATGAAAGGACAGAGCATGCTAAATCTCTCCGCGCTCCCGTGCTTCCCCGCGAAGCCTAGGTCAAAGGATCAGGCACCCCAGTGACCCAGTGGCCACTCCTTCCCTCCCTAGAGCCAAAGTTTGGTGGGGCCCCAGGAGGGAGGTAGGGGAAAAGCTCAGCCGAGGTGGTTCAGGGAGGGGGCGGGGCGCCTCGCACCGGGACGAAAGGGACCTCTGGGGGAGGTGTCCAAGATCCCGACCCCAGTAGTTAGGGCGCCCTCCCTCGGCCACCAGAAAGCCAAGTCCCCTTCCTCCGGGCCTCAAGTCCTCGCGCGTCTACCACGCTCACTGCCCACTCGGGAGGCGACCCTTAGGGCCCGACCGGCCAGAGCCACAGTCCGCTCCAGCTTGTAGAGACACTCGGGTCGGGGGGACGAGACCCACCCTGGCGTATGTCCCCAAAGCCCTCGTGGCCGCCCGGACCCTCCCCCTCGATACCTCGCAAGCAGGGTCTTAGCAGGGGGCTGCTGCACAAAGAGGAGGTGGTCGAGGGAGACTCCAAATCGTT